GCAGTTGTCGATCAGTATGTGTATGTTTGGTAAGGGGAAATCATCTTTCGGACTGGACCGGTTGAGATCCCGGTAATCGACACAGACTCTAACCTTTCCGTCCTTCTTTGGAACTGGCACAATGTTAGCTAACCATGTTGGGCATTCCACTACCCTGAGGACTTTGGCTTTGACCTGCTTGGTGAATTCTTTCTTGATTTTCAGACTCATATTTGTCTTGAACTTTCTGAGCTTCTGTATTACCAGCGGACATGTCAGATCAGTTGGCAGTTTTGTGCCATAATAGATGTGTTCAAACCAGTCATGTCATCATACGACCAGGCAAATATGTCCTCATATTCTCTTAGAAATTCTGTGTACTCTTCCTTTTCTGACGGTGATAAGTGAACGCTGATTCGTGTTTCTTTGACATTCTCTTCGTCTCCCAGGTTAACAATCTCAGTCTCGTCCAGGTTGGATTTTGGTCTGTTTTCAAAATTCTCCACTTCCTTGACAATCTCTTCCGGTATGTCATCTTCCTTTGAGTCTATGTTCGTTTGTTGCGTTGTCTCATTGCATGTCACAGTCATTGGTTCATCAAGACAAGTAAAAGTAATGCTGTATAAGTAAAGTAATGAGAGAAAATAATAAGAGCATTGATTTATAAGAAAAATTAAAATGCTTTGATATATTCCATAACTGTTTTCAACATTGAAGATCTTATTGCAAAATTTAAAGTGCGAATGGAAAGTCAACTAGTAAAAATAAAGATAGTGCACGGTGCTTGTTCAGCCTTGCTACCCCGAGGCTCGCCGGGCTCTGGTGGTTCTGATGGTCCAGTTATTGAAGATGCTCCTCTACTTACTGCCTGTATGGAAGGGCCTTCCTCCCCCTCCTCCTCGAGAATGACACAACAATCCATATCATCGTCTTCCAGGAATAAATTCCTCATCGCTGCCAGTGCTTCCTCTTCTTCCGACCCATAGATAACTTCGATCGGTTGGAAAGTCTGTTCCAAGTGTGGCATTGGCTGCTCCAATAGATAGTAGGGGCCGCGCCATGGTGGCGACCGTTGTTGAACTCTTCCCAGGTATACTCATATCCCAGACCGAAGGTGGTGCCGTGTTTCTTGAGTTTGATAGGCTTAGCGATTCCTTGGAGGTTCTTGCCAAGTCCCTTGCCAGGTTCGTATCCGCTCCACTTCAATATGCTTTATATTTTGTTGTCCCACCATTTGTCTTTATCAATAGCGTTGACTCGCTTGATTTGGTGATAAGTCTCTCCGCCTATCTTTCTTCTGCCTCCGATTCCATTAAATGAGCTTATACTCCTAATCTTGATATAATTATTATGATCAATGTAATTTGTTTATTTTTTTTATTTATAAAAAGGTACGACTCTATTTAGAGTTAGTATATGGCTATATAGATTGGATAATAACGAATAACATTTGCGAATAATAATTAGTTAATAGAATCATGACTCGATTTTGGGTTTGATGATAGCCCTTTATGTAAGCTTATAAGTTTTCATGTGAAAACCCGGCCGGTGGATTTTGTATCCGTCACATGAAATAGTTTAAGCGAAATTATAAAGGATTTAATAGTTAATTCAATTAAGTTTTTTAGTAGTTTAATTTAATTAACCGGTATTTGAAATCTTAACATGGGGAGTTAAAATAAGTATTAATGAATTTTCGAAGTTCATATTGAGGAGTTCAATTGCAGTTTTAGTGGAATAAATTGAAATTAATTATAGTTAGAATTAATTCATGCTAATTTCGAATTAATACTATAATTAGTAGCCTCTTATTATTTCTGTGGTCCCTGCTATACCTAGTAAAAACCTGGGCAGACTTGGGTAAAAAGTAGCTTGGGAGAAAAGTTATCCTTTTGAGTTAGAGTAGGATTCTACTTGCAGAATCCTACACGTTTTTGAGCCCCTATTGTGGCTTAATTTCGGGTCTATTAAAGGAAGACTAGCTTCACCTAATAACTTACCTTTTAGTTTTCTTGCCCACCCAATAGCAAAATCGTCCAAGGTTTTACTAGGCAAATAGCAGAAGACTGCAGCCCTGGATTCTTGCTGTTTGGAAGGTTTGTGCAACTACTTCAAGAGGTTAGTGCTTCTAATCTCGTTATTATTGCGTTGTCTAGTTTACATGTATTTGATGCATGGTTGTATGCTTGCTTCTGCTGCGCATGGTCTAACAGATACATGTTCGTTACATGAATCTCTCTTATTTCTACACACTATTTAGAGAAGCAAGCTCAAGTGTACACCAGTTGCTCGTCCACTTTGGATGGAGTCCTTGGGGACGAAAAATCTTTTAGCAATGATGAGGTTTTCATGGTTGGAAATGGTGTTCTGGTGCAAGGAGTTTATACGGAGGTTCTGTTATGGACAAACTAAATGTTTGACACCATTCTAATTCTTATACAACTTTCAAGAATCTAAATTCATTAAACCATTCACAATTTAACTTTACATATCCAATCAAGAATACTTATACAAAGTTTCGTATGTTTGAGAGAAAAAAGAAGAAGAGGAAAAGAAGAGGAGGAATAAAGGAGCGCATAGATCAGGAGGAAGAAGATGAGACATCTGAAGTTGTTAAAATTAGAGTATAGATTAAAGAATTTTAAAAAGATGGGTATAGGTTAAATAGGGGCGCAATTTTTATGATATTAGCCCATATATCCAATACTAATTACCAAGTCCAATATGCTTGGATTTGTCAATTTTCAAGATGACATAGTCATCATTTGTTTGCACTTAATGAAGGTCTGAATCTTAATAATTCAAATCTTAATTGTTAAGCGTATTTTTTTTACTTCACAATCACTTAATGAGTCTGAATAGGTCTCTATGATTAAGATCTATAACAAAGACTTAATTTCATTAAAATGCTATCATCCACATTCATTACTAACTGCCACCTCTTACCACTATAACCTACTACCATCACGATCACCATTCTCAAACCTCTCTATGATAGCCTCGTTTGTTCCGAATATTTTTTTACTATTATAGTGAAGTGCTGTTATAGAGAACATATAGTATAACATAACATGAAAATTTTTTCCGGAAAAGCTTGATTTTATAGTGGAATGTTGTTATATATATATATATATATATATATATATATATATATATATATATATATATATATATATATATATATATATATTTTCTAAGAAAATATCCGTCCCCTAAATTTAACATTACAACTAGTGTCAAAGCGCAAAAGTAACCAATAATCACGTTCAAGATGTGTTGTAAATCATTAAAATGAAATATCCTATAATTATACTAAATATAGATTATTCTTAACTTTGTCTCAAATATTTTTTTTTGGTAATTAAATGCTTTTATTACCAAGTAAATATTTACAATATATACCAAGAGACTAAACGTCTGTATTCTCCTTTGTTGGACATGAAGCCCCAACGTAAGGATACTACACTACCCCCTAATCAACTGTATTCCTTGCTATAGTTTACTGGGTACCAGTTCAAATTACTTAAGTAGGTAGCTAGCTTTTTGTAATTTTGAGCTCGTATATGAACCTCCTGCACTATCACTTTCACTATACTCATAACGCTGACTTTTTCCTTCTGAAATATACTCTTATTCCTAGCCTGCCAGACATGATAAACAGCTTCAGCCAAAGTGATTCTGTATAACTCAGCTCCAGCACTATTTCCTGCTGCTTTCTCCACTGCCCATTGTATTTCTTCATGCCATTATTTTTTCCTTCTCACGATCCCTTGCCACTTTAAGAGTTTCTGCCATAGTTCCCATGTTACATCACATTCAAAGAAAAGATGTTGAGCTGTTTCATTGCTCCGCTGACATAGAGAACATATTGTTTCATCCATTGTACCCCATCTAGCAAGTCTTTCCTTGGTAGCTAGTCTATCTAGGATTGCCAACCTTAGGATGAAAATCCATTTAGGCATCCCCTTGTTATTGCATACTAGTCCTCTCCATGGTACCTTTTGGAAGTCCCCTTGTAGTCTTTTGTACATCTGCTTGGTGGAGAACTTATTTAGCTGCTTCACTTCTTCTTCTGAGTATCCTGCCTCTTGCAAGTGCTCCTTTGCCTTGAAAATCTTTTGTATTACCCAGGATGCATTCCTAGGCTCTGTGTCCCAAATACTGCTCCCTTTTATATAATACGTATGAACCCATTGCACCCACATTTTCTCCTTCTTTTTACATATGTTCCATAGCAACTTACAAATAGCTGCTTTGTTCCATAACTCTATGTTGATGAAGTTTAGTCCCCCTGCTGATTTAGGTACACATAATTTGTCCCAAGCAATTAGTGCCTTTCTTGTTGGTTCAGCATTCCCAGTCCATAGAAATCTCCTGCATATTGTCTCAATGAATTGTATGATCTTCTTTGGTAGTGTGAAGACTTGTGCCCAGAAATTTTGAAGTGTTCCCAATACGCTTTTGATCAATGTTGCTCTCCCTGCATAAGATAGTAACTTGGCTGTCCAGCATTGCACTCTACTCAACATTTTGTCAATCAAGGGCTCACATTGGACTATTGACAATCTCTTTGTACTCAATGGGACACCAAGATATCTAAAGGGTAGCTCACCTTTAGTATATCCTAGTATTTCCAGAATTCTTTGCAGCACCCTGTTATCAACTCCACCAAAGTATACACTGCTCTTGTTTGTGTTGGCTACTAGTCCAGAAGCTTTGGAGAATCTTTGAAACTGATTGTGAATTTCCACCACAGATTTCTCCTCTCCCTTGCAGAACAGCAGAAGGTCATCAGCAAATCCTAATTGTATGAGATTCAGTTTAGCACACCTTGGATGGAACTTGAAGTTTTTGTTGTTTCCTAGCTGCTTGAGTAATCTATATAGGTACTCCATTGCTATGACAAAAAGCAATAGTGAGAGTGGGTCTCCTTGCCTTAGCCCTCTCTTTGCTTCAAATGGTTTGATTGGCTTCCTATTTACAATGATTGAGTAAGATACTGTGCTTATGCATGCCATCACTCAAGTTATATATTTTCCTGGAATTCCCAGCTGCCTCATTACTTGCTCCACATAAACCCATTCTACTGAATCATAGGCCTTCTGCATATCTATCTTGAGCATACATCTCGGTGATGTATTCTTCCTTCCATATCCTTTAATCAATTCATGGCTCATTATAATATTATCCGTGATCACTCTTCCTGGTACAAAGACTGTTTGACAACTATCTATCACCTCTGGCAATATTTCCTGTTTGTTAAGATTTTGGATATGATCTTGTACAGAACAGTGCAACATGATATAGGTCGAAACTCTTTGATATTACTGGGATTTTTTACTTTTGGGACCAGAGTTATAGTAGTACAGTTGATTTGCTTACACATTTTTGGATTGTCAAAGAATTCCAATACTGCTTGAGTCACCTTCTTGCCTATTATATCCCATGCTTTCTTGTAGAAAAAAGCATTGTATCCATCACAGCCTGGAGCCTTGTTGTCATCAATACTTTGAAGTGCTTGTTTAACCTCCTCTTCAGTTACTTGCCTTATCATATTCAATTATTGTTGTCTATTCAGGTTGTTCCCCTGCTTCATTACTTCTAAGTTTACTACTGGCAATTGTACTGCTATTTGAAGAGCAAGACAAGTATTCAAGAAAGAGAATGGATTGAGAAGATCATGCAGTACAGTAGAATAGATAGATAGAAAGAAATATTTTGCTACCAAGGAATACATAGCTAATATATATGTATATAGGAAGAAATAGGAGGAAAAGGAAAGTACTGAGGAACAGATTGTAACAGATTTGTGGTGATGAAATAAAAAAAATTTCTTCGCCAAAATTGTACTGCTGCTGTTCCCAGTAGATTTTTGTAGAAGTTTAGGATCTCATCTTCCACATCTGTAGCTATGTTTAGTAGCGGACCAGCATTATTATACAAACAACCTATATGGTTAGTGTCTTGTCTACTCTTAGTACAAGCGTGGAAATATGTTGTGTTTGCATCTGCCAGGTTGAGCTATTTGATCCTTGACTTTTGCCTCATGATGCTTTCTTCAATTTCAATCCATTTAGCTAGCTCCTTCCTTGCTTCTTTTTCTTGTGTTATGCCTTCTGTACTGCAGCCAGGTACATCCATTTGCTTCTGAATCTCCTCCAATTTTAATCTTGCTTCTAGGATTCTTTGCACAGTATTGTTAAATTCTTGTCTATTCATCTGCTTCAGTTTGCTCTTTAGCATCTTGAGTTTCCTCCATACTCTGTTCATTGTTTTTCTTTCTTCTCTTTTTCTCCAGCATTCATATACAACTTCCTCAAATCCTTTATGATGTGCCATACAATTAAAGAACTTGAAAGGTCTCCCACCATTCTGTTGCTCATAGTCTATTGGTAGATTTAATGGACAATGATCTGAAAACCAAGGCTTCAATGCCCTTCCTTCCATTACAGGCCATTTTTGGATCCAGGCAGCATTAACAAGAATTCTATCAATTTTACTGTGTACATAGTTATTAGTCCATGTATACTTTCTACCTACTGTCTTTAATTCAGTTAGTTCATTTCTCCAAATAAAATCTTTGAAGTCTTTTACTTCAAATTCCTGTACTTGTGTTCCTTGAGCCCTATCTTCACTAGTCAAGATGGTGTTGTAATCTCCCATTAGCACACAAGGATCAGTAGCACCAGCTATTGCTTTTTCCATATCTTCCCATAGTCTTTTCCTATCTTGTATTGTATGCATTCCGTAGACAGCACCAAATCTGAATTTATTGCCATTTTGCCTCTCTGTGACTTCCCTTATTATGTATTGTTGGTGCATATCATACCCTTCAAAGTCTACCTTTGTTTGATCCCAAGCAATCCATATTCTACCACCTGGAGCCTGTGAGTAACTTGCTATCCATCTCCAGTTATTGAATATCTTCCTTAGGATACCTTCTGCCTTTATTTCTTTAACTCTATTCTCCAGGACTGCTATAAGCACTACCTCATTGTCCCTAATAAATTTTTTTTAGTTCTTTTTGCTTATACACCTTATTCATACCTCTAACATTCCACACTATGATGTTCATCATTATAGCTTTCTTTGATTGGTGTTACCCCCTCTGCTTCTATCACTAGGAAGTTCCCTCTCTTTGTCTTGCTCCCTTGTCGTTTGGACTGGTCTTTGTGCAGTATCTACCAGAACTGTGAAAGCATTGCAGTGTTAACTTCCATCTCATCCCTTCTATCTCCATTCTTCTTTGTAGCAGATTTGCCTTTTGCCAATTGCCATTGCTCTTCCTTTGAATTGTTGCTTTGTATGCCATCACTATCTTCTTCCAGTTGCTCCAGGAACCTGCCTCTTGTATCAATTTTATCAGTCTTGGGATCTAAACTTCTTACAACTTTCCATAACTTTCCTTGATTCTGCATTCCATACGTTTGCTGCCCCACATCTTGCTTCTGAGCTTCCTTGTTGTGGCATGAGTGACCAATTTGGCAACAAGTTTGACAGTATTGGGGCTTCCAGTCATACTGTACCATTTGCTCAATCACTTTGCCATTGGTGTCAATCAGCTTAATTGTCCCAGGTAGAGTTCTAGTTATATCCATTTCTATGAGGACCCTAGCATAGGAGATTCTATCAGTCACAGTTGTGCAAGCATCAGCATACAAAGGCTTTCCCAGTCCACTTTCAATTTTGCTAAGTGCCTTATTACTCCAGTAGTTTAGTGGGAGTTTTGGGAATTTAACCCACAGTGGAATAGTTTTCAAAACCTCTTCATTAAAATCAAAACCCTCAGCCCAAGCTTTTAGTATTACAGGTCTACTGTTCATAGTATAAGGCCCATTCATCAGCACTTCATCTCTTTCTTCAACACTATTCAGCAGATTTGTAAAATAACCATCACTATGATATAGTACCTTAGGTTTTCTAACTTTTCCCCATTGAGAAGCAACAAATTGTTCAACAACACCTATAGTTGGAGTGTTTCCAACTACATACATTATTAGAGCTCGATTCAATTTCTGCTTTTCCTCAGCTATATCATCCTCCAGGATCTGTACTACTACTTCACCCTCTTGTATCACCGGTGGAACATATGTTAGATCCATTCCTTTTGCAGCTAATTTGTTGTCATGCAATAATCCAGCCCACGATCTGCCCAAAATGGTTGGTTTCGTCTGGTTCTGCTTGTCTTCCTCAGCTCGTACAGTCGCTGTTCCATTGCCCCGCTCCTTTACAATACTGTTTGTTACTGTATCATTGAGTTTTGCTCTGCTAGTGCTTGCGTCTCCAATGGTAACTGGCGATACATTCATCTTGGGTATCCCTAGATTAGCGGGATTCACTGGGGTACCTGAATTAACACGATTGCAGTTCAGATCTGGCCAATTTAGCTCACAATCACTGTCAAGATCCAGTTCCTCTTCCTGCATTTTCCCCTTTGCATGTTGTTTTCCTTGTTCCTTTGAGTTAGTTTCCTTGCTTCCGCGATCAATTACTAGCAATTTGGTCTGATTTTTCCTTGGCCTCCCTCTTCCTCCCATTTTCCGGTGGTGGCGCAGGTTATCTCATATAACGTGCGCCGAGAGAGAAGGAGTACTCTTGCTTTTTTCCCCCTTACCCTTATTTTATAACCTATTTAATTGTCTCAAATATTAAACAATCGGTAATCTAAACTTTTTTGCTGGAGAAACTTTGTTTAAAAAATGTTCAAGTTAGACAAAAATTCGTATATTGCATTTGAAAACAAAAAAGTCTTTTACAGGATTAGCAATTTTTGTAAATCACGTTATCATAAAATACCAATACACTCGCATATTTTTTCAATTCGCTTCATTGCTTTGCGAATTTATATAAAATTGGTTCCAATTTTTGGAGATTTTGATATTTTCTTTCTTATGAAAGATTAAGAGAACTAAATGGTAGTAATTTCTATTCTTAACCATGGTTAGGATGCTTATTTAATCAACAAAAGATTTGTTTTGTTAAAAGATTCTGATTTCCCTTTGCGCCGAATCTTATATATTTTTGCGGCTACCAAATATAAATAATTTCGGCCGTAGGCTAAAAGTGATATTTGCTCAAAAATATTTCTATTGGGCTTAACAAAAGTGCACCAATAGCCACTTATGGGTTGCTCTTTAAAATATAATCAGCATTTTGCAATATATTTAAAACATAACTTCAAGACAGTTCTTGCGGTTCAAACTTTAGAACACAGTTTTGAAAAATAATGCACCAACAGTTTTCTTTACGAAAAAAATATAGTTGCTACAAATACATATCAGAGTTTTAATTATTTATATACAATGATGATGTAAAATATACAATGTAAAAATATTTTCACACAATTAATAGTATACTAATTAATACAAATTAATAATCACTACACAATGGCATTTACTTCGTCTATGTACTCTATTTCGCACGTAAATTTTTATTAAATTATAAAAGCTAAAAAATGAAAAGTAAAAAAAAAAAAAATTAGACATGGTAATGCAATACACCCATAATGAACTAAATGCACTACTGCTTGCCGAATGACCAGTCTAAAACCCATTACTTTCTCCAATATTTCTTCCACCACCGCCACCGACTTCACTAGACCTGCCTCCACCACCACCGATTCTTCTTCCACTGCTGCCTTCGCCTCCGCCACTTATTCCACTGCTGCCACTTATTCTGCCTCCGCCACTTATTCCACCGCCGCCTCCGCCACTGCCTTTACCACCACCCCGCCTCCGCCTCAGACTCCGACTCCGACTCTGCCAACAACTGCTAATGTTAGGAGGCAGTGACGAAGCCAGAAATTTCCTAAAGGATGTTCAAACTTAAAATAGGTAAAAATAAATTCCGACAAAGGATGTTCAATATATGTTATGTACTTCTAAAACTTAATATTTTACCTATATATACAATGTAATTTTCTGACAAAGGGTGGTCAATTGACCACCCAAAGTAAAGTGTGGCTTCGCCCATGTTAGGAGGAGACAAATGATAGAAAGTACTAGGAAAATCTCTGTGAGGTTCTTCATTAGGCAAATGGATTTGTGTGAGAATAGTTGGTACAAGTTTAAAATTTCGTTTTTTATTTTGTGGCGTAGAAAATGAAAAACGAATGGAATTTAGCAAGTCTTGATCCTAATGTGATGACAGTTATGCATACTGTACGTGATATATGGAAGTAACTACAATAATATAAAACCGCCAAGTTTCTATTACACACTATATGATTTAATAAAATTCAAATCTAAGTAATAAATCAAGAGAAATGATCACAAGAATCAAAAATGGTATGTGTTTGACTCAAAAGATATTGAAACCTTTATGAACAAATCAATCAAAGAGGATGAAGGGGTAAATCCTAACTAAGTATAATAAACTCTAGAACTCAAGAGATAATAAAAGATGAACACACTGAATAATATTTCTTGATCTTTACGGAAGCAACCAATCACATGTAAAAGACATTAATTCTTTATGTAAGAAGGTGTTACAATTGATACTCTTTGTTAACTTTTTCCGGAGCCCCCTTACAAGATTTATCTCCCACTATATATAAGGGACAATCCTGTTCTGAATCCTAATGGACATGTTATAAGGAATATTCGAGAGTATATTCCTAATACCTCCTGTTGGACCTACATTATTACAAAAATCAAACATCCTCCATTTGTTGCTTGTCGTCCTCTACAGGACGTCGGGCTGTGAGGATCCCGTCTTCTGTCGTGACTATCGATGGCCGTAGTCGTCCAAATTTGGACCAATACAGTTAGTCCCTCCGCTTGTCAGGGTTGCAACTTGGTGCATCCTCGATAAGCGGACACCACTCGCTCCTGTGGAGAAATTTGGCTTCACGAAGCGTTACGGCTTGGCCAACAACGGGAGGTTAGCGTGCTTAACAAGACACTGGGTAGTGTGTCTTATCAGGAAATGATGTCATTTCTACATGCGTTATCATTATGCGTGTTTTCGAGGCAGGGGCTAACGGCTTGTCGCTTCGATTTCGGTGCCATCATGCAGCCTTCCGCTTCGATTCTGGCGCCACCCAATCCTATAAATAGGTGGAGGGTTTGTTTTATTCAAAAACTTTTGGCCATTTCATCACTTGTTATTCTTCCTCATCTCCTTCGTATTTGTTCCACCATTTTCTCTACTTCTTCTTCTCTCATTCTCCGTTCTTAGATTCCCCTGTTATTTAACATATTCTCTATAGAAGAGATGCCTAGAATACACCGATCTCGTGTGGGGGTTTCTAACGCCACTCCGTTGTCCGTGGAACTTCCCTCCGACGATGAGGGTAAGACGGTGGAAGAGGGGGACAGATTTCCCACTGTGGAGGAGTTGTTGCGGAGACACCCTTCGTCTCGCAGTGACTTTCTCAAGGACCCTCCTCCTACTCCCATCCCTGTGTTCTCCGAAACAGAACAAGTCCATATCGATGCTCCCCGTGTGAAATATAACATTCGTGCTCACGTTGATATGGTTCCGGCGGGGTAGGACTTCGTAGAAGTCCATAGGCCTGGGTAATGTGCTTTTTACGAGTACCCCTTCATAATTGGTTATTCCTTCCCTCTCCCTCCATTAGCGGAGGAGTTCTGTCGATTCTATCAGGTCTGCCCGGCACAACTTTCCCCGTAGATGCTTAAAATACTCCTGCTGTTGGAAAAGTACACGGAGCTGGCGAGGTGTGAGGTTACCTCTATCTACTCCACTTGTTTTCACCTAGCTTTCATAGGGGTACTATGGTGAATTTGAGGCACCGTGGGATAAAAGGACTGGTGGTTGGGACCGACGACCGAGCGAGTCATAAGTTTTGGCACAAGTATTTCTTCGTCAAAACTGCACACATCGTGTCTAACCCCGCTAGGTTTCCGGAGCGATGGAACGAGAACCATAAGTGCCGCCACTCGTTTTACTCTTTCCTTTCTTCTTCATTCTCCTTTGAGTTCGTTTGCTTCTTGTTTGCAGCCATGGGGCATCCACCTCACCCTATTACAGGTATAAGGGATTGGGTAGCCCGTCTGCTGCCCCATGCAGTGGAGACTCGAGACTGGACCGCTTTCGTGAAACGTTATAGGCCGAGAGTTTCATCAGGTAAGTGCCTTCCCTTGTATCATTGCTTAGTTGTATATCATTGTCTATTGATACGACTTTTTCTGATTATAGGTCGAGGTGCTTCTCGATGGAGGGCCCCAGTCCCTGTATTTCGATAGGCTGTCGCTGCTGCGGGAATGCAGTTTACTTTGAGTGAGTCCTCCAAGAGGGTCGTGCTCAACCGATACAGAGGGAAGGTCCTTCTCGCGATATGGTCGTGAGAGAAGAGGCCTCTTCCGTACCGACCCATCATCTTGTGGACGAGTCATTGCTGAGAAAAAGGAGGAGAATGGAGCTTGGGAAGGATGTAGCCGCAGACACTGGCAAAAGTAGGACGTGCGTGTTGCAGATGGCGCCCGTGTCTGCGTTCATGGCTACATTATTTTGGCAGGGAGGACTCCTCAAACGGAAGGGGTTTACCCAGGAGGTGGTTCTGTGCGCTCCACTGAGGGTGGCGCATCGTTTAACGTTGGAGGGGGCCTGCGTATCAAGGGCAAAGCCTCGGATTCGGATGTCGATCTGGAGGACGTTCGTGAGTTTGTAGAACGCCACACTCATGTAGAGGTCAGGATGGAGGATTCTGATCGGCATAGAGTTATCCCTGGGGATTATAACTTCTTGTCGAATTGCGAGCAGGTGGCATCTGTCTTAGCCCCTTTTTGTGCTGCCCCCGAGAGCGAGGTGCTTAGAACAATGAGCGATGTGGAGTTGTCTCGGAGCGTTGCCGGCATGGCTTTGTGGGTAGATTTTTTCTCTTGCCTTTCGTTGTTGGGTTTTTGTCGTTATTTTCAGCCTATCTTCATTTTTAACTTTTTCTTATTGTGGCAGACCTTTATCATGGAGACTGAGCGTGAGCGTCGGGAAAGAAAAAGGATGGCCATCTACGGGAAGATGTCCTTTAAATATCAAAAATACCGCACCAAGCATCGTGCGATGGCCGACATCTAGAATCAGGACTCTGATTTGCAATTGTTTTGAGAAGGGCTCAAACAGAGGGAAGACCAATTGGCGCGCAAGGTTGAGGAGTTAAGAGAGCGGGACGAGGATCTCATGAAAGCCATCGCCCCGAATAGTGAACTCGAGGCATCTCTTAAGATGAAGGAGGATAAGCTCAAGTTAAGTAGAGGTATGATGGCCGAGAACGCCGACCTGCAGGCAAAGGTGGCCAGTTTGACTGCCGAGTTGGGTATAAAGTCAGCGGAGATTGATGAGCTTAAGGGTGAGCTGAATGTGAGTGCCGACAGGCTGGCGACTGTTAGTTCTGAAGCGGCGGTTTTAGAAGATACTCTTCGTGTCTGTAGGTCGGAGCGTACTAAGGAGAAGGAGGTATCTGAACTTAAGGTAGCCGGGCTTGAGGGGCATATAAAGGAGTTGGAGGCGGAATTATCCGCGTTGTCTGGACAAGTGGCGTTACTGAGAACGGAGGATGTGCGTTGACACTCGCAAC